TGAATTACAACCACAGCTGAGGTCAGAATTTCTGTTGCTAAGCGAGGCAGTTGTTAAATGAGTTTTGCCTCATTTCACTACCTTTTTTTGCCTCAGTAGTCAAATCACTGCAGTTGTTCAGTAAATCATGTGTTCATTAAGCAAATCTGATTTTTCCCATTTACCTCGCTAGTTGGAAACCGGCTGTGATCACATAATGCCGGGATACTGCAATTGTCATAAATACATGCCAGTTTCAGTAATAAATATATTTTGCTTAGTTTAAACTCCTTTCTATTTGTTTTGTTATTGTTGTAAGCCCAACAGTGTGATGGGCAGCAAAGAAATTTAATTTAGTAATAATTAATAATATTAATTGGGATTTTAGAAAATAGTGGAAGAAAACATCTTATCCCAATCCCTGTTGTTTTGCAGAAAAAAAGGAGCTAAAGTTACAAATGTAGCTTGTTTGTAACATGAAACATTTTGCTTCTTTGAAACAATTTAATGTATTGTATAATCACGCAGCAAGCAATAGTTAGCAATCAATCAATCCGAATAGATCTGGAAGGGACCTTGGAGGTCATCTAGTCCAACCCTCTGCTCAAACAGGAGACCTATACCATTTCAGACAAATAGCTGTCCAGTCTCTTTTTAAAAACTTCCAGTGATGGAGCAATTTCTGGAGGCAGGTTGTTCCACTGGTTAATTGTCCTCACTATCAGGAAGTTTCTCCTTAATTCCAGGTTGCTTCTCTCTTTGGTCAGTTTCCAACCATTGTTTCTTGTCCTGCCCGCTGGCGCTTTGGAGAATAATTTGACCCCTTCCTCTTCTTTGTGGCAGCCCCTCAAATACCGGAATGCTGGTATCATGTCTCCCCTATTTCTTCTTTTCTTTAGACTACCCAGACCCAAGTCCCGCAGCCGTTCTTCGTATGTTTTGGTCTCCAGGCCTTGGATCCTCTTAGTTGCTCTTCTCTGAACTTTTTCTAAGGTCTCATTTGTACTATGGTGACCAGAATTGGTTGCAGTTTTCCAGGTGTGGTCTCACTAGGGTTTTATAAAGCGGTATAAAAGAAGTATTTGTAAGTATATATAAGTATTTATAAATATTTATAAATATTTTGCGTGATCTTGATGCTCTGCCTCTGTTTATACAGCCCAGCTTTGCAATATTAATTCCATGATTTTCCTAAGTAACAGAACCAGGTGGCATATAAAGAACGGTTGCT